GGCGACAGCCGCAATGGAGCGATAAAGCGACGTAGGTCGAGACGAGCTGCAAACCGGAAACAGTTAACAACGGCTAAGCCCTTGGCCACTTACGGCTGTTAAATGGCATTAGACGGTGTCTGTGTGTGTGTGCGTGTGTGTGGGCATGAATGTGAGTGGGTTGTGCGGCTGCAAAGAGGTGCGAATTTTATTTTTATATCACGCTGCTGACGTCAGTTCGTGTCGTTCTATGAGCATACATAGACGAGTATAAATATTTTTAGATCGGCCAGTTAGGGATGCTAGGACTAAACTGACATTTGACCTATGCTGCATGTGTGTTAAGTGCTGCCATCGAAAATTAATGACAGAGCAATGTCAGTCAAATGGATAGACAGGCTCAGACAAGGCAGACAGACAGTCAGAGAATCGAGGTAAGCAGCAGCCGGCTAGCCATATGTATATACATATATATGCGAAAGTGTACCATCAATTCAAGTCCAACTTTAGCTTCAATCCCAAAACCCCCAGTCAACTCGAGCCAGTCAGTCAGTCAACCAGCCATCCATCCATCCATCCAGCCAGCCATCCGTCCATCCCTTGTCATGTCAGAGGCGCGTTCGTTTCTTGTCTCAGGGCTTATTGTTGCTATGGCAACTCCTTGTAAAAGTTTAGCGCAGCTTTTACCAATTGTTGTTGTTGCCGCTGTCTACCTTTGTTTCAGTTAGTCAGTTGTTCAGCCAGCACAGCAGCACAGCAGCCCAGCTAGCTATCTGTACCGGTGCCTGTGCCTGCGTACAACCTTTGCGCTTACAGAAAACGTTGCTCATTGACGTTTTGTGCCGCCTGTCGCTTTGAATAAATAACTGACGTGACGCAACAGACACATTACCAGCAACTGAACGCATACACACACACACACACACACTCATATACCCATACACACAGTTACAATACGAAACAATCAACTGGCAGAACGCTGCTTGCCTTTGACTGTCTAATCGTCCGGCTGACTGAGTGACTGACTGACGAGTGACTCCGCAGCAGCATCGCAATCGCAATCCGAGTCCCAACCCCAACCCCAAACTTCCATCCCTAAATGAGTCGACCTAACCCGGTTTTATGCAAAAATTGCCTGCCTCAAGAACAGAATCTATGTGCGTCTGCTCTAGGCCGTTCTCTATTTACGCCCGCCTGCGAGTCTAGAAATAGACTCAACTGTATCTAACTGTGCCTTGCACGGTGGTGAAACGTTGCATAGAAATTAGTAATTTGTAGAAATCTCTGAGTATAAGATTTATAAGCAATGATTTATACAATATAATGTATTATAATATAAATAAGGCAATTCCAATATATATACAACTTATTCATTTATAATATTTAAATATTCTATTGGTTATTATGTGCTTTTCTGTATTTATAGAAATATTGTATTAGCATAGTTTTGAAAAAAAAACCTTAAATTATTATATATAAAATATGTTGATTGCGTATATCTTTTGAAATGCAGTAGACAATCTAATAAATAAATACGTTAATGAGTTGATATTTTGTAAATATTATTATTGAATATATTAATAATAATTAATATAGACAATCAATTGATTTTTATTTATTTATTTTTATGATTTCTAAAAAAAAGGCTTCCGAATTCGATACTTAAAAAAAAATTAAATAATGTTATACTATAATAATTATAATTAATTCAAGTTAAAATATTATTAATTCTCATACAGTCCATAGAAAGATGGTCCAACCTACGATTCATAAATCATTTTTATATGATATTAAAATTATATTTTATATTTATATTTTATATTTATATTTTATATTTATGTTATATTATATTTTATATTTTATTATATTTTTATATTAGTTAACACATCAATTGTTCAATATAAAATGCAATAAAGTAATAATAACACATTTTAATATTAAATTAAAAAATGTGTATGCATAAAGCAAATATCAGAAAGCCCCAACAATTTGATTTGCCCATATATAGCATTAAGGAAAATTAAAATATTTTTAATATTTATAGTCATCTTCAGAAAGAAATGTAATAATTAAATGCTTTTGCCGTGCATATATTTTCTGCCCTCTGACACCCTTGTGGCACTTGCTTTGTTCACCTGTTTGCCAACCGCACAGACACTGTGCATCATGATTTATTTGACCTCTTAATAACAGACCATTTCTCATGCTCGCTCGGCTTCATGCTCCCGTTCTCACTCCGCTTTAACTGGTTTTTAGCATTAAACAAAAACCATTAAGCATAACGTATTACCCATTAACCTTTCAGCTGAAAAGCTGAAACAAATTCATAATTTTCGCACCACTGTGCACATTAACTAACTACCTACAACGACATCCTGTCATGATGATGACGCTGAGTACTCGGAGCACACGCGCGCACACACACACACACACACACACACACTTACATATGTATTTATATAGACTCGGCTCGACATTTGACGTATGTTCAAGGCAGTCAGGAGAAGCTTCGGCTCTGGTTGGTCGTAGCTAAGGCAAAGTGAGTTATTGAAACTGCTTCAACTCATAAATAAATAATTACCGGATTCGCATAAAATGTGCCTGTCCAATGCTGTTTGCTAATGTTTTTTTCCTCTTACAATTCAGTAGGCTCATAGATGTGCCTACTGTAAGCAACCTCTACAATAATCGACTGCCAGGCAACCTCCTCCCCACAGGACTTCCTGTACGTACCCATACACCTGGGTAGACAGCTAGGCAGTCACACGACTCAAGGGGCCAGGGGTCTGGGGTCTGGGGTCTTGGGGTCTGGGCATACACTCTTTAGTTATTTGTTATTTGTTTTTCTAATGTTTGCTTTAGGGTCGGTCGTCAGGGCTGTTAGCTGGGCATTTCCATTAAGGGGACAGGGCCAGAGTTTGGCTAGGAGCCGGACCTCAGACACTTGAAACGTGGTAATAGATACTTAAATAGTAATTTAGTAGCTTTTGTAACCGCATGGATGGACATATGAGATTTTACGCCGATTTTGCTAAGAGTTTGCTTCAGTTGCCGTCTGTGTGCAAAGGCAAACACACTCATGTGTGTCTATGTGTGTGTGTGTTTCTTTTACAGCCTTTATTGCACTACACTTGCTTTATCAGACATTTCATCTTGCTGTCAGTTCCTACATTTCACTCTCCCTTTCTCTCTCCCTCTCTCTGTCTCTCTCTCTGCGTGTTGGCTTTTTACATATTCTCAGCTAAACTGCTATAAAATGGTTTTTGTCTTAAGCTACGATTCGTTGTGGAACGGTGCATAAAGCTCGGCATAGTAGGATCATGTTTCATGCAGTAGACTATTTATGTAGTCTATACATGTGTGTGCGTGCTGTGTAAATGTGTGTGTGTGTGTGTGTGTGTGTGTGTGTACGTGTACGCGGCTGTTCATTTGCTTTTGCCTTGGCTGCGGCTGTGGTCCATTTGCCATTGATTTGCCTTTAAGATTAGCCTTTCATATGTCGGCTGTTTATTGCCTGATGTCCTGAACAAGAGGATCACAGCATCAGATGCTGCTGCTGTTGTAGCTGTCCATGTGTGTGTGTGTGTTGGCGTGTTAGGCCTTGGCTTAAACAAGCTGTTAAGTCTGCTTTTGGGAAGTCACAGTTATTATGAAGGCTGAAAGTTGCTTAATTGCTGGAAAC